GTTGGGCCTGTTTTCCGTGCCGAACCCGGAGGACGAAGCAGTGACTGGGAGAGAAAGTTCCGTCCTCTGCGAGTGCAAGCTTCGTGTTCGATCGAATATATAAAGAGTATAGCCGTTCGGCTGTACTCTTAAAATATTCGAATGTAATTAGAAAGTATAGCCGTGCGGCATCATTTTTGCTTTGTCCAGGGTACGTGCAGCATATGCTATGAGAGCTCTTTGCTTTAAACTCAAGGAAGGATGCAAAATGCAGAAAGGGCGCTCTGATACCACTTGATGCAGTTCAAGTATGAACTCCCATAGCCTGTTACTATTTTTTTCCTTGTGGATTTCCTTACTACTCTTCACCTTGTTTCTTACTTGTTTTGCACTTTAAAGTATGCTGATAATCTCGTTGGCTAAAAATTTATGTGAATAATTTCACAATCTATAGTCTACTAGATCCCTCCACTAGTTTATGAATCTTCGAGGTAGTTTATTTCATTAAAAAGCAAACTAAAGTCATAATTTCATTTAATATGGAGAAAGAGTACCAGAAGATGCCTTCTGCCATTACTCAGACTATTTTTTTTTTAATTTCTTGCTGAAGATATGATAGAGATTCATGGTCATTTCAGAATCCTCATGGTGGTTTTGGATTATTTAGCATATCTTATTACATGGGCTTCTTCTTGTTGTAGCAATAGTGTGCTAATAATATTGCAGAAGCCTCAGGAATATGATTTGATGTGGTAGAAATAGACCAGCTTGACCAAATGAGAATACAGTATGCTGATTATTTGCTGATATGCTCTACGTTTTACTTGTTTGGCAGAAGAGTGTGTGTGTTTGTCTTGCAATATTTCATACTTCTCATGGTGAGTTTGCTGCAGCGTTCTCTATTCATGTTTAATATTCTTTTCCCAGTTCCATCCCAGAGTAGCTCTGTTTGTCCTTACCCTAAAAAAATTACTTGTTCCTTCCCACCAGCCATTTTGGGGGGAGAGGGTGCATGCCAGAGGAGTAGGTCCTGCACCCATTCCAGCTGATGAGTTCTCGCTTTAAAAGTCGGTCGATGCCATACGCTTCATGTTAGATCCAAAGGTATTTATCATTTCTTTTTAAACTTGCAAGTGATTTACACATATTTGTCATTTCTTGAGTGTAAACTTATCACACATGCATACGCACTGATTTAATTGAAGTTGACATTGTTTTATAGTCAATTTCAAAATTCAAATACTTGTCACAACTCTGGGGTTATTTTATGTTATTTCAATCCATTGCGTGTACCTAAATAGATTAAATTAAGAAAGCAATAACTATTTTATGTTGAAAGGTTAAAGAACGTGCTGTTGAAATTGCCAAGGCCATGGATGGCGAATATGGGGTGACAGGAGCAGTGAATGCCTTTCATAGGCACTTTCCTCACAATAAATCTGAAGATAATAACGTGAAGCAAGATCTTCATGTTCGCTCAATATATAGTGTAACATAAACACCATGGTTTCCAAAACTATTCAATCAAAAATAAAATTTTCACATCATAAATTATTACAGATCAAAGAACTTCTGGTTATTATCAGAAAATGAGTTTATATGAAGCAAATTATGATTGATATGCTTCTGGCAAGAGACCATAAGTATCGGTCATGTTTATTCATAATTTCAACATTAACTCTATTGTGTGTATGTATGAATCTATGTAAGTTTCTTATGGAACTGAGTAATATCAAACATTATAAGTATATAATTTGACCTATCAATAGCTTTTAGTCATGTTTGTAGAACCTAATAAGATATTTACCAAACTAAGTGGTAGTTAATTAAACTCAAAAATAATTTCAACTCAAATAGTTCTGTGCGTTGTTTCACTAGCAATAAATATTGTTAATGTATGGTTTTTGTTATTTTCTTTTGGCTTCCCTTGACAACTTTGTAATAGGAT